GTGCCCCCAGATGGCACCAGACATCCACAGGCTGTCCCTGTGTCCCCAGGGTTGTCCCCATGGACCTCCCCATGTCCCCAAGGCTGTCCCCATGTCCCCACAATCATCCCTATGGATACCTCCATGTCCCCAGGTCTGTCCCTGTGTCCCCAAGGTGGTCCCCCTGTCCCCATGGACATCCCCAGAGGGCCCCATGGACCTCCCCACGTCCCCAAGGTTGTCCCTGTGTCCCCATGGACGTTCTCAGATGGCCCCATGGACATCTTCATGTCCCCAAGGTTGTCCCCGTGGCCCCATGAACGTCCCCAGGTTGTCCCCATGTCACCACAGTTGTCCCCAGATGCCTCCATGGACATTCCAAGGCTATCCCTGCTTCCACAGGGTTGTCCCCAAGGTGGTCCCTGTGTCCCCATGGATGTCCCCAGATGGCCCCGTGGGCATCCCCCTGTCCCCTGGGTTGTCCCCATGTCCCCAGATGGCTCCACGGATGTCCCCAGGTTGTCCCCATGGCCATCCCCACGGTTGTTCCCATGTGCCCAGATGGCACCAGACATCCACAGGCTGTCCCTGTGTCCCCAGGGTTGTCCCCATGGACCTCCCCATGTCCCCAAGGCTGTCCCCATGTCCCCACAATCATCCCTATGGATACCTCCATGTCCCCAGGTCTGTCCCTGTGTCCCCAAGGTGGTCCCCCTGTCCCCATGGACATCCCCAGAGGGCCCCATGGACCTCCCCACGTCCCCAAGGTTGTCCCTGTGTCCCCATGGACGTTCTCAGATGGCCCCATGGACATCTTCATGTCCCCAAGGTTGTCCCCGTGGCCCCATGAACGTCTCCAGGTTGTCCCCGTGTCACCACAGTTGTCCCCAGGTGCCTCCATGGACATCCCAAGGCTATCCCTGCTTCCACAGGGTTGTCCCCATGTCCCCAACGTTGTCCCTGTGTCCCCGTGGATGTCCCCAGATGGCCCCGGGGGCATCCCCCTGTCCCCTGGGTTGTCCCCACGTTGTCCCCATGGACGCCCTCACGGTTGCTCCCGTGTCCCCAGATGGCACCAGACATCCACAGGCTGTCCCTGTGTCCCCAGGGTTGTCCCCATGGACCTCCCCATGTCCCCACGATCATCCCTATGGATACTTCCATGTCCCTAAGGCTGTCCCTGTGTCCCCAAGGTGGTCCCCCTGTCCCCATGGCCATCCCCAGAGGGCCCCACGGACCTCCCCAAGTCCCCAAGGTTGTCCCCATGTCCCCAAGGTTGTCCCCATGGATATTTCCATGTCCCCAGGGTTGTCCCCACGGATGTTTCCATGTCCCCAGGGTTGTCCCCATGGACATCCCCAGGCTGTCCCCGTGTCCCCGGATTTGTCCCCATGCACATCCCCCATGTCCCCAAAGCTGTCCCCACGGACGTTTCCATGTCCCCAGGGATGTCCCCAGCCTGCTCCATGCCCCTCCCCAGCCCGTCCCCACGCAGACAGAGGGCAGGTGGCTGGGGGTGGGTTGAGGTTTATTGGGGGGGACACCGGGATGTCCCCAACGTCCCCGAGCTGTCACTTGTAGAACTCATGCTCCTGCTCGTCCTTCTTGATGACGGTCTTGTAGGCCTTCTCAAAGTCCTTGGCCAGCACGATGTACCGGTTCTCCCGCACCGCCAGCATGCCGCCCTGGGGACAGGCCACCGGGTCACCTCCAGCCACCATGGGGACAGGCCACCATGTCACCCAGGTAGACCTCCAGCCACCCCCACCCCCCTAGGGACAGGCCACCAGGTCATCCCCAGCCACCCTGCAGGGGGGTGGCAGCCTGCCCCCCCCGGTGTCACCTCCTGCCAACCTCCTGCAGGGAGGTGGCACCCGTGTCACCCCATGACCATGTCACCCGCCGTCACCTTAACATGGAGCGATGTGACACCTGCGTCACCTCCTTGTCACCCCGCCATGGAGGGACGCAGCACAAGTGCCACCTCTTTGTCACCCTGCCATGGTGGGACACGGCACCATGGAAGAACGCGGCACCTGTGTCACCCGTGCCACCTCCTTGTCACCCTGCTGTGGTGGGACACAGCACCTGTCACCTGTGCCACCTCCTTGTCACCCTGCTGTGGTGGGACACAGCACCCGTGTCATCTTGCTATGAAGGACACTGCACCTCTGACACCCGTGTCACCTTCTTGTCACCCTGCCGCGGTGGGACACGTCACCATGGACGGAGGCAGCGCCTGGCTCGCCTCCTTGTCACCCCACCATGGAAGCACATGGCACCTATGTCACCTTCTCGTCACCCTGCCGTGGCGGGACTGTCACCACGGGTGGGACACAGCACCTGTGTCACCTCGTCACCCTGCCTGTAGGCACGTGGCACACGTATCACCTCCTTGTCTATCCCCTCCCTGTCACTCTACCATGAGGGACATGGCACATGTGTCACCTCCTTGTCACCCTGCCGTGGAGGGACATGGCACCTGTGTCACCTCCTTGTCACCCCGCCACGGAGGGACATGGCACATGTGTCACCCACCTCCTCGTCACCCTGCCATGGCGGGACATGTCACCATGGACGGACACAGCACCCTGCCACCTTCCTGTCACCCTGCCATGGAGGGACATGGCACCTGAGTCCCCTGTGTGTCCCCCCCCCCCCGTCCCCATGTCACCCACCTCCTGGCAGATGGAGTTGATGTCGGCCCCCGAGATCTTGTCCGGCCGCGCCACGTCTGGGTGGGGGTGAAGGAAACGTCCCCGTCCCCGATGTCCCCTCCCCGGTCCCTGACGTCCCCAGGCT